CAATTTGGAATATTTATGACACAGACTTTTGTAACAATTTGTTGGAGTCTTTTCTTCTCAAGGAAAATTAAAGTTGACTGATCCATGCAAGATTGCTGATTTTCCATTTAGAGGAGTTAGGCATATGATAAATGTTTTCAAAGATAATTTACTGGGAGAGGCAGAACCAGCGGTTCTGGCTTACTCTTAAGTTTAAAAAATGGGTGGGGAGAACAAAAAGAATTTCATGTAAACATTCATTTTGTGGACTCTCTGCGTTGTGGATACTGCAGAAGAATTGTGTCCCATCTATTTATGGTGGTGTGAGCAGATGGAAAAAAAAAAAACAAACAACTTTATTCATGTTCATTACATTCAAGCCATTGCTGTTCCCTATTTCCAAAGTAAAAGCTGAAATCTTTCTCAGTGGCATATTATTTTATGGACGATAGGGTACGAAAGGATGCTTGTGTTTTAGTAAAAATAACTAAATGGTTTTAGGGTGGAAACATCATCTACTGCCTTCTGGAAACGCTTGCTAGATGGAAGGTTGTGTAAGATGTTGGTGTACAGATATTTGGTCAGTACATTCCAGTCTCTGGACTCAAGTATACAACTTACTGCACTGACTTATGTGAGAGGAGACTGTTAAAAGCACAGTCCTCTTCTCATGACATGGTTGTCTCCTGACAGTTTCCTTGTGTATTAATTGAACCCTTAATTTTAGAAGATGTAATATATTCGAGACTTGGTTTGTGCTAAAACCCATGGCCAGAAATAGCAAGTGGACAAACAAATAATAATGGTTATAGCTGAGAGAGAGCCTGCTTGTGAAAGGGGACTATTTAAATTACAGATCCAGGTATACGTGTATTGCGGGTGACTGGGATGCTACCCTGAAAAACAGAACGTGAATCAACTTGCTCCTCCTCTCTTAATGCTGAACAGGAGGGACATCGCTAATCTGCTTTGTATTCCAACATTTCATAGAATCACAGATTGGCTTGGGTTGGAAGGGACCTTAAGGATCATCCAGTTCCAACCCCTCTGCCATGGGCAGGATCACCTTCCACTGCATCAGGCTGCTCAAAGCCCCGTCCAACCTGGCCTTGAACACTGCCAGGGAGGGGGCATCTACCACCTCTCTGGGCAACCTGTTCTGTGTCTCACCACCCTCACAGTAAAGAATTTCTTATATCTAATCCCAATCTACCCTCTTTCAGTTTAAAATCATTACCCCTCATCCTATCCCTACACACCCTGATCAGTAGTCCCTCCCCAGCTTTCCTGTAGCCCCCTTTAAGTACTGGAAGGTCTCCCTGGAGCCTTCTCCAGGCTGAACAATCGCAGCTCTCTCAGCCTGTCCTCATGGGAGAGGTGCTCCATCCCTCTGAACATAAAGAGGGGATAGTGATGGTGTTCTTTAGGTTCCTTTCTGGAAGAGCTATTCTTTCCATATCCTGGAGGAAAAGTTAGTGACATATGTGACTTTCACATCCATTCTCTGTCTGTATTATTTGCTTCTGAACTGAAATGAACTGTGGTCACAGAGGATCAGTGTGAAATTGTTAGCTAGAGAATTTTTTCAGTAGCAGCACATGTAGGTTTATAACTGTACTAGAAATGTTTGTGTTAAAGACAAAAATTTCCCTTTACTGAAAAGAGTGTGGAGAGGCCAACAGTTTATCACAGTGCACTGGAGGAGTCCCTGGTTTGGTAGGGGCTACAAGCACCAGGTATTCTTGCTTTGCTCTGAAGTGATGCCCCTTGTCTGTACCTTGAGGTACATCTTTTTTTCCATGTTGAAATTCTGCCCAGGTTCTAATTGAAAATCTGAAATGTCAGCCTTAAAATGAGAAGTGGCACGCAGATTTTAATACGATTTTAGCCCCAAATAGCTACTATGAAGATTTCTGAGAATAATTTTGTGCTTAACCCCTATTACTTTTAGCCATCTAAGAATATTTTTTAAGTCTTCCTCTTTAGAAACCTTTTGAAGTTTAGTAAGGGTAAATCTGAAGGAACAGTGGGGTGTGAAATGGGACAAAATTTTAATTTGAAAACTTTGTTCTTAAACCTTTTTTGATGTTTATCTATATACCTGTCCTTGCACTTTGAATTGATGTAATATGAAATAAGCCTGTATAATGCAAAATACTCTGAGAATGTTTCATTCATTTTTGCTGCAAGTGCTACAAAGGCAAAAAACTCCAACGCCCCAGAATAAAAAATAGTAAAGCCTAGAAAAATTATATTTATAGTATTGGTTTTGAAGCTTTGCAGACAGCTTCTCATGAAAGCTGTCTTTAATACTCACATCAAGTATTTAAATAGTTTTTCAGTAAGAATTTAATGTGAAGTTATGCTGTAATTAGAAGTCCACACATCTCTGAATTCCATATTTAGATACAAAGCTTGAATTTAAATGGAAGTTAAATCTGAGATTTTGCCTGACAAGGAGTCGTCCTCCAGTGTAAAAGGATATTGTCTTCTGTTTCTTCCTGCCTCCTAAATAATGTTGCAGAGGACACTGCCAGGCTGTAACGGCATTTGGGCTTTGTCTGCTTCCCCCATCATATTTACTAATAGGGATTTGTATTCATAATTTAGCTCATGATTCATTTGCCAGTACATAGCTGAATACTTTCAGCTCATTTGGCAATATGTGTGTTGGCATAGCAGTCATCATAGAAGCAAAATGTATGTGTTTGTATTTGGATCTTGTGGCAGATGTGTAATATAAAGGAGCTACCACTTTGGCAGGGCCTCTTTCCTGGCTCTGCCCACATTTTAAGCATTCCCTGGTTATGATCTGTGATCGTGGCTCATATTGATGTTTATCTGCCTTTTTAGAATGAAAATAGCACCATTCTGTTTTGGTTTTTTTTTTTTTTGGTTCTTGTGACGTTGCAAAGGTAGTGCAGCATGGTACAAACACTGTGGAAACAGAACTTTGTAATACACTTTTTCTCAACTGCCATATTAGTTCTGAAAACAATTTGAAACCTGTCTGTCTCCATTTGGCAACTGAAAAGCAGGGGTTTGCAGTCAAAGCTTTAGAACGTGCAGATGACGCAATTTCTGTGTGCAGTCAAGTATGTTTGAATTACTCTATGTGGGTAAGTATGTAGGGAACAAAAAAGGTAAAGATAGGAGGAAAGACATACTCGCTCCCTTCTTTTTTTTTGGTAGAACTTTGAGCAAAATAACATGTTTTGCAGAGTGGACTTAAGCCTTTCATGTGCCTGTATGTTAAATATAAGGAGCTTGCCAAGATGTGCTAAACAGGGTTTAATTATTCTTTTTTTGTAAGTTAATTTACTGAATAAAATTCCTGCTTCTAAAGAAGGAGTTTCTTTTAATTTCTCATTTACAGGATAATATTTTTTTTCTGAGAAAATTCAACTAGCCTTCTTAATTTCTGTGGGTTTTGTCAGTATTAAAGCTACAACATCAAACAGTTATGAGTATTGGGATGCTGTGTTTCAGTTTTAGCTAGTCTTCTCCCTTTGTGCAGGTCGAGGAGAATGAATATCTGAGGAGGTCTGAGGACGAAAGGCCTTGGAAGGGAGGAGAAACAGCAGTAACGTCACTGCTTGTTTCCCTTTACCTTACACAAATGTGGCCATGCAACCACCACACATTAAAAAACCATGCTAAAAATTGCTAAAATAAAACTCGATAATGGGGATATTGAGCTGTCTTTGTAAGTTAAATTCTGTCTGTGGTTAATCAAGTAAAAATGCTGCTCCAACCATGTTATCACGAGTGCGTTACTGTTAAATGAAGGGAAAACACAGGAGGAAATAAAACTCTCTTGCTTCTTTACTTGCTGGAGCATTTATTTCCCCTTGTCCATATGTGTCTTGGGAGAACACCAAGCATAACAAATAGTGTTTGCATTTAGTTCTGAATACAGTGAGGTCCATGATCACTCTTATCTCGGTGAAAGCAAGCTCCAAAGCCTGTCTGGCTGCCCAAAGAGTTCACATTTCTGCATGTGTGATGGATGGGTTTATTGTTCTAATGAAGCATGGCTGTTGTTGGAGGTTGTGGTCACAGGAGGAGAGAGGCAATCCATCTTTAATGAGGGACAGTGCTGTGGAGGCCTTGAATGCCAAGACAGAGATGTAGCATTTCATTTTTTATTTGATGTAGAGGGTCAGCGCAGAGACAGTACCTTGTTTTACAAGTTTTTTTAATATTACAAAGAAGGTGGGAGCTGTATCCTGTACAAACTTTAATCATTTTAGATGTTTTGGCTTAGTTCCCAAGTGTGATGAGTCTGGAGGTTGTGAATGCATGTATTTCTGTAGCCAGAGCTCTGATCAGATAGGGAAATCAAACCTCTGGCCATGCACAGATGGCGTTAGACTTGCCTGTCTGAGCATCTGTAGAAGCTGAGGTCTCACAGGCCGCATACTAGCTAGCAGGCAGTGTCTGTAATCATGGGGAACACTATGGCCTAGGGAAATTCCTCAGAGCAGTTCCCATCAATACAGATAGTAGTTGTGTATTTTAAGTACCTCAGGATCAGGCACTTGTCTTGGGGCAGAATCTGAAGAGAGCTGTGTGTTCACCAGAAAATTGGAAGTTTGACTTATCCTTAGACTTTGAAAATCAGAATATATTGTATATCCATTCAACACAACATTCAGGAGTAAAAGACATAATCACAGTTTTCACTTTCTTGGTCTTTCTTGTTTCATTCCTTTAAGGCTTTGTTTAGTATGACAGTTTCAAACTAAACAGTTATGGATTTAAGTGTCTAGGTTAATGCAAGTGCAGGGCTAGTTACAAATGTGCTTCCTTTTTGATTTGAAAAGTTTGGCTGTTAACCTGTCTCTTTTCAGCCCAATTGTTGTGTTCCTCATCCTGGTGTCTGAACAAATAGCACATAAACTCATTTAGAGGAGAGGAGGGTTTGTGTGTACCAATATTTAGTTTATTTGAGGTTAAGTTTCTTCTTAAAAAAATTCTTCAATGCAAACATTTTTGCTGTATTTTTGTTTGTCTTGCAGGTTGATCCAGCTTTTAAAGAAAAATTAAAACAGAACACTGTGACACTGGAATCTGAGTATGAGGTAAAATAAATTTGTTGCTTGAGGCTCATAACCTTGGCTACCCGTGATTACCCTGGCCACTGGTGGGTTGTATCTGTCCCTAACTAAAATTAGATCAGCCATCTGCCTTTGATTCAGTGATGTCCAATAAAAATAAAGTTTTATGTAAAGAAAGGTTTTTGAACATGGAGTGCTTCTTTCTGAACACAGCTTTACTTTGATGTCCAGGTGCCAAGTACAGTGGTACAAATACATTCCAGTATTTCTGTGGTTAACCTAGTCTATAAATGTAGGGCTGATGTTGGCCTGAGAAAGTGTATGTGTAAATGTCAACACTTCTACTGCATGAATTTTGATGATCTTTAGACCAAATTGCAGAACAATGTGTTTGCAATTGCAGAACAATGTGCGTTCTGTTATTTCTTGCTTCTGAAAATTGTGTGTATCTTTCAAACAACAGCTGTTCCTTTTTCACTATTTCAGAAGTTTTTATAGAGAAATATTTCACTCTTTCCTCAACAATGCATTTTCTTCAAACATTACTGACCTCCAAGATGGCTGTTTTGCCCATTTAATATCCAGAGTTTCATAAATCTTCATGTCTGCAAAAATCCACGTTAGAAAAACTGGAAAAAGCTTCCCTGTATCCAGAAACAAAGGATATAAAGCTATTTAAGATAATTTTTAATGTTTTAAAATTACTTGGATCAAATGTCTATCTAATATGATCTTTATAGTCTTTATGCTGAACACAGGTTTTCTTTTTCTTCCTATACCACATTTCTGTCACATGCCTTTGAGGAGCTTGATTGCACCCATAGCTCTCATACTAAGGTGTCCAAATGGCAGTACATGGTCTTGCTAATAAAAAATTTCTATTTTATATTACTCTTTTGTGATTTGTCTGAAATAAAAATAAAACTTAACTTTTGTATTTTTACATCTCTAATTTCATGGAACATCTGCCTACCTGCCAGGTTCGTGACAGTGTTTTACCATTATTGCAAACAGTTATGGGCCGCCCCCTTCTATAAAGAACTGTGGTTTATGGTGTAGGGAATAAAAAGATTTGATCCCTGAGTACATATGGAAAGCTCTAATGGAAACTCAAAATGTAAAAATCCATTAAATTCTGGTTATTGCTGGGATTATTGTGTCTCCCACTTCCCACAGAATTTACTGTAAGGCTGCTCTGATTTATTTACGTAGAAGAACCACAAGCAGTAAAAAGAACCACATCTCTGTTTAACTCACTGCCTAACCTCAAAATCAACTGATCTGTATTCATATATGTCTTGCTTTCTCTCCAGAAGGTAAGTAAATAGTTGAAGGATAATATTTAAGTAGCCATAATTGCATTAGCTTTATGGATAAATCAATGGTAATAAAATACAAGTATCATAACAACATATTACAAGCCTACTTGGGTATTAGGTCTCCTTCCTGATGGACAGGAATGACAGAATTAATCTTACTCTTTTCTTAATCTAAACTGCAGAGTGTTCCCAGGCAGAGATTCTTCCACAGTAGTGTTTGTGTGTTATAGAGGGCAGACCCATTCAACAAAAAAATGTATTTGCATTTTCACATAATGAAAATAGATTCAGATTATTGTTTTGAACTCTACTCTCAATATATTCTTTACTATGGGCACCAACTTGCAAGCACTAGGCATATTCATTTCTTACTTTAGTGAAACTCGTGGAACATCATACACATACTTTGCAACCATCCATCAGGCACATACTTTGCAGGATCCACACTGAATGTGTGACTATTTTAGTCAATGTTACCTCTATATTTTGGTGGACAAAATCTAACCAATCAGAGTGTTACAGCTGACATTTAGGAGAGTGATTTTTTTTTTTGTTGTTGACCCCACATGTTCCAGGCTAGAAGGGTTTGGGTGGTTTTTTTTCCCCTTTATTTTTTTACTTGTCAAAAATACAGCTCTTAAGAACATCTTCTAATTCTATATATAGGTCACATTGAAGGGTTGCACTAGTGTCTGTTGCTAAATATAGTATGATAAGAGATCAAGGGCAGTTTAAAAAAATTTGCTGTTTTGATATGTAAAGCCTTATTTTACAATATTATTAGCATTATATCTGCAGCTGTTACTGAGGATACCAAGCCAGCTCTTTTGAAGCATGGTTGCCTGATGCATGCAAATATCCACTGGCCCTCCCAAAGACTTTTAAAATATCTTATTGTCCTTATAGAAATATACATATTGAATACATACTGAATTCTTTTAGAATGTCACCATTTCTATTATTAGCATGCACCTTTATAGGCATATTGGAAAAGATAAAGACATGCCCACTATTTCAGACATGTTGAAGTCTGTATTTTGTCTCCAATGTGGTGGTAGTGATGAAGAAAGTTGTAATCACAGATTTAATCAATTTACTGTGAGGAAATTAACATAAAGATATTTTCTCACCTTCTAATTTACTAAATTATATCTTCTCAAGCTATACAAAATTTACTTTATTTTGTATAGGAGTATTTCTGGCCAGGATACTATTTTGAGGAAGAAAGAATTTACATGTGTCATTTGTACTACATTTTTTATATACCTCAGATCTGTTAATAATGCCATTTATCTTGTGCCTCGGGACATGCCAGAGGAGCAAGCTACCTCTGCATGCATCCTCTGTTGTTTATCCATTCCTCTCACAAGCTTATGTGTCCTCATATGGCCAATTAGTCCTTGCTGCTCCCCTTTGCTTAATAAATCATAGTTCTGTCCAGTAGTGACACTGGTACTAATGTGAATATAGTTCTGCTGCTGAGCTGGGCCTTGTAGAACACACTGTAAAAAATGTCGAGTGTTTGACCTGTGACAAAAGCCTACAGTATTTTATTTGAAAGCGCAAAAATACTGTTTGAAAGAGGGGGATAAACAACCTGATAAATGTGATGAGTGAAAAACATTCTCAAGTATGTTTAACAATCACAGTACATTCCTTTTCATTTGTTTAAATGCAATGTCAGAGTAACATTCCTTATTCTAGCACTTGATTTCTGTACATCTGTGAAATTAATGGTCTAGTACACACTAAAAAAATCTGACCTCAGTCAGTTACATCAGACCCCAAAATATTGATGTTTAGGGTTTTTCAAGCAAATAAAAACATCTTTAAGAAGAATTTATTAACATTTTACAATGGAAAATCAGTTAAGCTTGAGTTAAATATGTGATATCCAATGGGAACCAATGGCAATTGAAGGCAGAGGGAAAAAAAAATCATAATAAGTAAAAAGTGTGAAGGATTGCTATGGAAACAGTAAATGAGAAGTTATAAAGCAGAGAAGATTGATAAAAGATGCTAAGGACATCAGAGAGTTGTCTGATAGAAAAGCTGACAAGGATATGGGTAAGAAGATGCTGTTGCGGCAACTTAAGAACAAAATAACAAGGATGTAAAATCATGATCATTGGCAAAGTAGCAACAGTCAAAAAATGTATGTGTATTTTTTTTAGAGACAAAAGTCCTTTGTATTCAAACCAGAAGAGACAAGGGATATAGTTCCAAACCTCTTAATAACCAAACAAGTTGTTATTAATATCTATTAGGCTCTGATGGTTTATAGCTGAGTTCCAAGAAAATGCTTGAAAGACTTCAGTGGCTCCTGAAAATCTCAGTCAGGGAACGATGGTTCTCTGGGAATCATTACTGGGTAGGAAGGTGATATGTTTTAGTGTTCTGTGAGATTTGGGACATATTTGGGCAATATTGAGCACTTTCTTCAGTGATACAGAAGAAATTATGAAATTGTTACCGATGTGCAAGTGACAAGAAGGTATTGAAATAGTAAAAGTATGTCAAGGAAGGAACAGACAGCTGTTTGTATTACTTGATAAGCTGGGCCTATTAAATGAGCAAAGTACCTTTTAAAGTAGCCACTTATTCATTTAAAATGTGGAAATGCAGGCCAGAGTAGACTGCATTATGGAAAGTAGCAACTTGGGAAAAGATTTAGGGGTCACTGAATATATAATTCAGATTGATATTCTGCTGTGATGCTGTGGCACAAAGAGCTAATTCAGTCTGTGAATATAAACAGGAATGGCAGATGGTAGGAACAGGTGATTTTACTTCTGAGTGTGACACTGAAACACTGGATCTACTTCTGCTGTCCACATTTTGGACAGGGCTTTAAAAATGGGATAGGTTGCAAAACAGGCTGAATATATTAACTTAGGGCTTGAAAGAAACTTAGAGATTTAATTGTTTTTGAAGGTACAGAAAAGAATGTTATATATACATACCTTCAGAAGAAGAAAGTTCTAGCTATTGAAGATTTTTTTAAATTTCAGCAAAGATATTAAAATTAGAAGTAGGGTCCATTATTAATATGTGAGAACATCATTTGAACACAACAGAAAGAAAATGGGTTCTCTGTCTTTCAGAATACCAAAACTGTAATTCTTTTTAAAGTTTTCCTTCAACTGGTTGCCAGCTATTGGACTAAGCTTGGCATAAACACGGGAATATGCTGGTCTGCGAACAGTCAATCTAGAGAACGCTGCTTTCTTAAAGTTTATGAATATTGAGCAGTTTTTGTTCCTGATAATTTGATAAATCACAAAAGGTCAACATTAGCTCTGGACAAAAGTTATGTAGCTGTTTGTCCTGAGAACTACATTATTGTAACTGCAGTATTAAAATGTTTATGCAGGACAGTTGAAAGAATAATTTGAATAAGCTCCTCTAAAAATGATTCAAGCCACTTAATGCTCATTTAACTTAACTTCGGGGATTGGTAGTGCCAACAGAATGGATGAAACATCTTTTTGAGGAAAGGACATTGCAGTAATGTAGTAATTTATGGTATTAAATGGATGCATTGAAGTGTGTGGACATGAGGACTACTCTAGAAGGAAGGTAATTCCTGAACATCAGTAGTTGAAATCTGCAGATATCTTGTTGCTGCCATTATCAGTACCAGAGGATTACTGATTTTATTGTTTAAGAATTAACAGATTAGCGTATTGAATTGATTTGCTTCCA